CCAATTACGACAAATATACGAGCTTGCCACATATACGAGCTGCCAATGTGATACTATGACCCCCGACTGTATTCGCGAAATGACAATATAAGTCAGGCTAATGGACAAGGCTCTGCAATACTAACTATATATTATTGTGTGATATTTTGGAATTAACGTTCCGGTGGTTTGACAAGCAATCCTCCGAAACGGGGGGCAACTGATGGATGTATAATTTAAATATCCATAATTAAGGGAAGATTGCTAAATTAACGCACTATTGAGATAGGCTCTGCAGATTACGATAAAGATTACAGATTGAGATAGGCTTTACAGATTACGATAAGGATTAAAGATTGTGATAAGGATTAAAGATTACGATGAGAATTAAGTTTACAGATTACAATAAGGTAATTCTACGTGACATCTTAACCTAAGCCCTATAAAAAAGGCGAGGTAATCAACGTTTGAAGGTATGCAAAAAACCCTAACTCAAGTTCTTGATTTCTCTTAAGAGATTAGTTCGCACACTGACTTATTCGTCGGAGCCTACTCCACCGGTAACACACCAATGCTTGTAGGATCACCTTTTCTTCTCTCTGTCCAGGAAGTTAGATCAGATCCGGGTTGCGCAGAATCCATCATCAACAGTTGTTAATCCTCTAATTTTTTTTGAAAATTCTTTAAATTTATATTATTTTATTTTATGACTAAACATGCATGAGTACATTGTATATGTATTGTGGATGTAGCAGACCAATACTATAATACTAAAAAGAATTTTCGAGAGAGAAAGAGGATGATGAGAAAGAATCTTAGAGAGAGAGAGAATTTGAGATCGTGTGAAAGAATTTTAGAGAGGAAGAAGAGGTAAATTTGAGTCAAATAAATGATGTAAAACTGTGTCTCTTATATAATGGGTGAAATATGGGTGATTCATATTCAACCCATTTAACCCTTTATAAAAGTGGATTAAATATGGATCACCTATTTTGACCTATATTTTAAAATGATTCACCCATATAATTTTTAAACGGGCGAATATAAACGAGTTGGTGGGTTATGACCCATTTTACCACCCTACTTTGTTTATACTTATTGGGAGAGTCTATGGAAATATGACGAGAGATACTAGGTGTGCAGGTTGGAAAACAGTTGGGGAGCAGGTTCGGCCGAGGGGGGTAGCCCATATCCAACTCCTACCCACTGTCTTATAAAGTTAGGGCTAGTTAGCCCGTACAAGGACTCATCCCAGCCCAAAACTAGGTGGGTTCGGGCTACGCTTCATTACTCTTGATCCTTTGTTTTTTTTTTTTCGATAATTAACTCTTGATCCTTTTGCACCTTTATCTTAACTTAAGACTAATTCTAATTAAGTTGTGGTTTATATCATTGCATTGTTGTGCTAAGTTTAGCTCTAATTGTAAAAAATGATCGTTTAAATTCATAAAAAATTGGAGTAGGCTCGAGTTTGTTGATACAAGTTGCTTTCCTGTATTAGAATGAGCTGTTAGCTACCTGGTCCTATTCTGAGTGAACCTACTAGAGGTAATTAACATGCAATTCATTTTCTTTGGTGGGTCATTCATGGATGAGATAGAGCTGTAACATACTCAATTCCTTAGATATTGGGCATGTTATGACTCAACCAAATTATGGCAATATGCAATTCATGTGTGGTGGGTCATCCATGCATGACAGATAGCTGTTGGCTACTCAATTCCTTTCATCATTATTGAGTGCAACTCAGAAGCCCCACAAAGGCAAGCCCCAATTGAATCCTATGTCATTTTACGTTGCAAGATTTTTTTTTAAAGATGGGTGTCACTTTCAAGTTACACATGATTATAATCTTTTTTTTTTTTTTTTTTTAATTGGTCCTCACAAACACATATCTCTTCTGAGACATAAATTTTTAACATTCTTTTAAAAAGTAAGGGACTAATACGACTAGATCACTGACCTGTTGGTCATATGTTATAATCAAATGCTCTTACATTGCACACAATTATAATCCAACGTTTTGTAGATGCCTCCTGCTTTCAATGGGTGTCACTCTCACGTTGACACGTTGCACGCAATTCTGTTTTGACATTTCGCATACGCTCCTTTCATTCTGATTTTGTCAATTTTACACTTCAATTCTTTTTTTTCTTTTTCTTTTTTGATAATCGAGGTATCTGGAGCTTTGTCCGACTAATCCACAAGACTCGTTTAAAGCGACTCTTAAGGAATTGATCGCACTCAAGAAAATTCAAATTTGAAATTTAATACTTCATGAGACACTAAGTCCCGAGACTTCACCGCTGAAGCTAACCCCTTAAATTAAAATCATCATTATGTTACATTATATGATTATTAAAAACTTGCATTAGCAGATTTCATGCATACCATGTCAGGAGATCTTTAACTCATTTTGAGTAGTAACACTAAAACTCAAAAGAACTCAAAATCATTGTAAGTTGGAAAACAGTTGCAATTAATAATCATTATTAAAGGTTATGTATGTTTCAAGTCTTCTTTCTCCCAATAGTCTACTATGGTTAAGAGAATCGTTTTGGGTATAGATATCATACGCTTTGCATATTATTTGTATTTACGATTTTTAAAATGTGTTTATATAGTTAGGAGAGATTGACACATATTATTAGTTGCTTTTATAGGAAATCTATGTTCCCATATCATACTTTGGGTCCATCTGATGCATACATTCAATTTTGTACATGCTTATAAAAGAAGATAAAATTGAAATGAAAAGAAAATGATTTGAAAATAAAAGCAAGCCAGCTGGTTTCAGAGAGTGAAGTGCTGGTATTTTGAAAGGTCTTGGGCCTCAACTTTGAAAAGAAATGGTAGCCACTATATCCCACTCCTTAATATATCGTTGCAAGAAAATTGTACTATGATGATGTGATTGGTAAATAAAGACTTTTTAAGTACTGGGTCTTTATTTATAGGAGGTTGAGGTAGCTAATAGGTCTTTTGAGTTGGATGTGAGTTCTTAATTATGAAATATATACGTATGTGTGTGTGTGTGTATGTGTGTGTGTGTGTGTGTGTCTCTAATTGGTCTTTTGAGTTGGACGTGAGTTCTTAATAATGAAATATATACGTGTGTATATTGTTTAAAGACAGTGTTTGGACAAGATTGATTTATCAAGTGAAAATTACAACCCAACTTTCATGTGATGACAGATCAGTTGCAAAGTCATGAAATTTTATTTACTTAATTTGGGATGATATATACAAATTCAAAGTCCACAATGTTTGATCAATGTGACTTGGAGGCTTGTGGCATGTTCGGCAGGACAATTTGATGCATATCCTATATGTTATCCATTATTAAAACCAGCCAATGAAATTTTATTGTATATGGTCCCCTACCCATCTCTCTTTCTCTCTAGATATACATATATATGTGTATATATATATTTAATACTTGAACTAATAATATCAAGGTCCTTGAGATCATGACAGAACATATATTTAAGTGGTATTGTACAGAGGCCAGCCATTGAACATGGTAGCAATCTATCATTAAAGGATGCTAAAATGCACCTATAAGGCATGTGACCTTGATGATCTTGTAACGAACAATTATGATTTCATTTGTAATCACAAAATGTGTTTACCTTTTTGTTAAGTCTCTTTTCTTGAAAAATTACTTTAATTTGCTATGGAAGCAACCAAATAATTTTAATAATAGCATTCCATAGTCCCAAAACAGAAGTTGTATTGATTATAAAATTAAACAGAAGTTGTATTGATTATAAAATTAAATAAATAATAGATCATGATTTTTTTTTTTTAACTTTTGGACATGAAGGTCTGTCACAATAGAATACTTAGACCATAATATTTTAATTTAGAGAACACAAAAGGAAAAAAAATTCTTCTAAGTACTCAAATTAACATCAGCAAAGTTTCCCAATATGAAATCTGATATTTTGAATAATTAAACCGCATTGTCGAATCTAGATCCTCTCTTATGCACGGGCTAGATAAAGAGTATGAAATCACCCCACAAACAATAGGATTCACTCTGCATGTGAGATCCACTCCCAAGAGAAATCTCAACCAAAAACTCTTGAGAGAAATCTCCACCGTCCCTTGCACATGGGATTGTCTCGTGCACGAAAGAGGATTCGGAATTTAATCATTGTTAAAATTCATAACAAATGAGCATACGTAATATAAATGAAAGAATCAAAGTAATGCACTCAAAGGTAGAGCCAGGATTTCATGAGGGATATTGATTGTTTAAATCACGATGTGCTAAATATAAGTACATGACCAATATAAGAACTAAAAAATTATTTTATTAATTAATATTTTATTAAATATAGCTGTATGTCTTTGTATTTTGAAAGCAATGCATGAAAATTATACCCATTGACTTCATAAATAATGGTAATAAATTTAAATAAAAACAAGAAAAAAAAATTACATACTATACATATCATTAATAAGTCAAAGAAAAATTTTAAGTAGCAAAACAAAAAAGGAAAAAAAAAAAATAAAGGAAAGAAAATGAGAACTTTGAAGAAAAAAAATTAGACTTTGATAGACGAAGTAAAATTTAACATTTTTTAAGAAAATCAAAGAAATTTTAAGAGCAACAGAGAAAAGAAAGAATCCTTTAAGAGATAGTTTCAGAAATTTAAATTTTGAAATTTTCTTATAAATGTATAAATAAAATAAAAAATAACTAAATTTTATACTTTGGGAGCTAGGCTAGGGGGCATGTGCCCCGGGCACACACTGCTCAAGGGACATTATATAGAAATTTTTGAAGATAATTTTAAAAATTAAAAATTTTAAGAGAGCATTATATAGAAATTTTCTTGTAAAAGTACAAATAAAATAAAAAATAACTAAATTTTAGGGGGCACTGTATGTGTGTGTTTATACATATACATACATACATATACATGTATGTATGTATATTAATGGAAAGATCACAGAGAGGGCAGAAAAAATAAAAGAAGATCTGGCAAAGGTTGGTAAGTGCTTTATAGTGGGACAAAATGATTTGACAAAATGGCCATTCCCTTTAATTATCTACAACTCTTATTTTGGTCTCCGCAGCCCCTTGCAACCTCTCCCACCATTTTATCTCCTCCCAATCTTCTTCTCTCTCAAATTGTTGGTTTCTTTGTTAGCACGAAAGAAACTGCAAAAAAAAATAGTCACATATTTGAGATTTGTTGAATTCTGTGACTCAGATTGAGAGTTTGGAAGGAAGCAAAAAAAAAAAAAAATGGCATTTGCAGGAACAACCCAGAAATGCATGGCGTGTGACAAGACTGTGTATCTGGTGGACAAGCTCACTGCTGATAACCGCATCTACCACAAGGCCTGCTTCAGATGCCATCACTGCAAAGGCACCCTCAAGGTATGTGTGTGTCAGTGTGTGTGTGTGTGTGTGTGTGTGTGTGTGTGGAGACTAAATCAGAATTGTTCATCTCAATGTTGTTTGATCTAACAGATTGGTTACTTTGATATGCATTATTTGATCTGAGTTCCAATATACCAATTCATGGTTCAAATCCAGTATTGTTGTTGTGATTGTGTTGAACAAAATCATCACTTGAAGTGTCACCAATCAGAATAAACTCATCACTGAAAACAAGAACATGTACAACTTTTGCCCCAAATTTGATACAATAGAATTGTAAACTATCCAATTAGATAGATAACTCTACAAATTACTGCAAACATGTCAATTAGCTAAGTTCACATTTGTAGGAATCAATAAATCCTCAATTTCACTTTTTGGAAACAGAAGTAGGTGTACCACAACTGTATTTTTTTTGCTAATTTCGCTGTGATTTGTTCCGATCTGATCGGCTTTGGGGTTGAGATTGTGTTGTATCAGTTTTCGATGCCAGAACTGAAGGTTTGCAATTGAACAATTTAAATTGATGACATGATCATGCTTCTCTAGGCCTTTGAATCTCTCTATTCATCAAACTTACCAGTTTGTTTTTATAAAAATACTCATATATATAACCGAGACTGTATCGGCTAATATATACAAATCCAGTGACAGATGGTTCTTATTTGCAGCTTGGCAACTACAATTCCTTTGAAGGGGTTCTGTACTGCAGGCCACACTTCGATCAGCTCTTCAAAAGAACTGGAAGTCTGGACAAAAGCTTCGAAGGTAATGAATTTTTTTAAAAGGTTTTATATCGTATTCGATATAGCATGATCACCAAATCAAGCTCATGTCTTGCCTGTTCAATCACATCCAGGAACACCTAAAATTGTGAAACCGGAAAAACCCATTGACAGTGAGGTACTTCCCCTGAAATCCAAGTGCTTAACGATGTATAACGAAAGTTTTTCTAATACGTGCTAATGAGCTTGATTCTGTTATGAGCAGAAACAAAAGGTCTCTAGCAAGTTTGGGGGAACAAGAGAAAAATGTCTCGGCTGTAAGAATACTGTCTATCCTACTGAAAAGGTGACAACCAAAGACTTCTACTTTAACATACAACAAACGCATAGAAACATTCCGACATGTTTGGTTCACTTTTCTAAGAACAGTTCTCAACAACTTAGAAAACATAAAATTGTTTTAAAAACAATTTTTTGAACCGAGGTTTTCTGATTTTCAATTCCCAGAAATCATAAAATTGTTCTCAGAAACTAAACCAAACGAGCCCATTTCTTGTTCTATAAAATGCATTTACAATTCAAAGTTGATATTAATACTTGTTAAACAGTGTACGATACTGAAAAAGTATACCAATATTATACTGTTTTGTTTAAAGGTTACTGTGAATGGAATTGCGTACCACAAGAGCTGCTTCAAATGCACCCATGGAGGGTGTGTGATCAGCCCATCCAACTATATCGCGCATGAGGGCCGACTTTACTGCAAGCATCACCACACCCAACTCATCAAAGAGAAAGGCAACTTAAGCCAGCTTGAAGGCGACAACGAGAGGGATACAGTGAATGAGAAAGCCAAAGTCACAGAAGTTGCTGCTGAGACATAATCCAGTGAACGAATTATTTGCCCTTTCACTTCCTGCATTATCTTGTGTTTTCCGCAGTCCATATTGATGCAATTCCTTTTATGGTCCACCTCTGCCCTGCTGTTGACAATAGCTTTATGCTTACAACAATAAACGGAAATCTTATTGTTTCCGGTTGATGTGTGTGACAATGTGTGTTATTTTTGTTGCTCTTGTGAGATTGTGGAAAGTGGATGCTCAGGTGAGATAACAAAACTAGTTTCATTCTTGGTATAACAGGAGTTATGTTCTTTTTGGTACATGAATTCTTATTGCACTCTTGAAAGCTACTAATAATGTGTGTACAGTGTTGTCTTTCTATGTTTACAAATATAGATATCAAAGATGAAATGAAATCATAAATCTGAACAGGCTTTTTTGAAGATCTTTCAGACTTCCTCCCCCCAAGAGAACATTCCCTGTTCTCTGTGTTGTTGACTCTCTCACAGGCAGATCAGAAACCGAACATTTTCCACGAAAACTTGTTAGAAAAGGTACTGTATGTATCAGTATCACTATGCACACACTCTGGATCATGACATAGTCAAAAGAGGCATCCTAATTGGATATAGAAGGTCAGCACAAGAGAATTTCAAGATAGGAAAAAATAATAATATGGTTCAAAGTTCAAATCAGTTGCAAATTAAGGGATTCTAAGCAAGTAAAAGTGATCTCCAGTGTGCTAAGATAACCAAACAGTAGCTTAAGTGATGTATATACATTCTCCCCCTTACCAGATGCGAAAAAATAATTACTAGATCTAGCTGCTATTAGAACTGTTGAATCCGGCATGAGTACTCAAAGCAGTGGCCTACAAATGAAATTCAACATAGTCTGCAACCGGAGGGATTTTTAGTAGGACAATAACCTGATTTCATAAGTGGGCACTCTTGTCAGAAAAGCTTCACCAAGATAAAGCTTATACAGGACCTGCATGTAAACGGTAAACCTTCAACTGCACAGGACATAAGAAAACTAAACATCATCATTCTGTATACAGCTGGATGATGTCCAGCTGAAGCAATCACACAACTTTCAGTTGCTGGTTAAATATGCCTACAGGACCCTACACTTGATGCTGTATATGCCCGCAAAAATTATTTATCCACTCGGAAAAGGGTAAAAAAAAAAAAGTGCATATCATTTCAGAGGACGCTAAAACTGACAAGTGACACCATCATCAATGATCCTTGAAATTTTGGGGCAAATTAAAGTAAAATTCTGCAGTTTCACATCTTAAAATTCAAATATTATGATCAACACTGACTCATCCTGTAAAGAACAATATGCACAGATATTATTAACAAATTGACATTATTGTATTGACGATAAATATGTTACAGTGGTGCCAGAATGCATTAATGGCTTCCGAATACAAACCCTTTTGTACATAAATGATCCTAAGTAAGGATTTCAATCACTACAAAGTTTCGCTGAATCAAGAAGACAACCATTTTGAGCAATATGCTTCAGGTCTATAATGTAATTGTCCCGAATAAACCCAAACCCAAATGTCCCATCCCTATATTGCCATATCCTTCCTTCTACATGCCGAGGGTTAGAAGTTCCTACCAAATCTGGAAGTACCAGGTCATAACTTGAATTGATATAAAGAATGCGTGAGACCGCTTCATTTTCTGTCCAAGAGGTTTGCCTTTGAATGTGATCTGCTGCAGCAAGAGATCGAAGATGTTTGCGACTATCATATAAATTTTCTTCTTCGAAAGAAAATGGAGACTCAATGAATTTAGTGTTTGACGTCCAAAACACTGGAGAATATCCAGAGAAAGGTGTAGACGAATCACCAACCCTTCGGCATGCAATGCCCCCAATGTCATCATATGCCACAAGATAAAAATCCAAGTTCATGTCATCACAAATACCCTGCAGTTGGAAGCAGGAGAGACTATCATATTGAGCAGTAATAAAGGGCCCTTCCGTATCCAACACCATTACTAGGATACAATTATACAAATAAAGAAGAAAAGATTAAAATAATCATAGCCACTAACAACTGAGAGACCAGTAAAAATCATGTAATTTCGCTGGCCATATGATTCCATGGGTAACTCATTATGCAGTTTCTCAAATTGTCCTAGGGGGTTAGCAAATTAGCAAGTATAAATTTGTTTATCAGGCACTCAAAATTATCATGAGAACCAATTTAAAGTAGCACTTCTTTAGTTTAAACCAAATAATAATAAAAATGAGTTCCCTTATATGTAGAGGAAATTGCTGCAAAGCTAAGGTGATATCTTACAGTGAGATTGATAAAGCACGTGACAGCTTTTTCTACTCTCATAAAAGTCGAAATAAATATCATGTCTTGCAACAGTAAAAAAGTATAGAAAGAGGAGTTACATTTCTTTTATTTGGGAAGAAACGATAAAATTACAGCAACACCACCTAGTAACCTTGATGCTTTGATACAGGGTGCCACTCCCAATCTCAGTTCACAAATTGGCACTGCATCAAGTAAATCTATCATGACATATCATTTACATTCTTCTTCAACTGCATCAATTGTGCAAGAGTATGACCTTTCACTTACCGAGCAGTAGCTGTCCAGGCTATTCTGCTTAAGTAAAGGCTGCTCTTGTATCCTTCTTAGCTGATCCAATTCTGCTGTTATTTCTTTCATTTGGCCTTTTCCTTGCATTCAGTTTTAGGCATCTTTTTGCAAGAGTAGCAACAACTTGAATCTCTTCTTCCTTGTCATCATTCACAACTACCATCTCTATCAAAAAAGCAATTCAGTTTCATTGTTGATCGAAAATTAAGTACAAGACCTTCAACGGATATATTAGAATAGACGGCCTTTTTTCCTGGTTAGGAGTTCAGCAACAACGCCGCCAAAGGCATAAACATCACTTTTATCAGTGAGTTGCCCTGATGAAAGTACTCAGGATCCGAGTAACTAAATGTGCCCCCACCAATGCTGTCAAGTGAGTCTTATGAAGGGGTACTGACCTTGAAAGTCCAAAATCAGCCACTACAGCCCCGTAATTTTCGTCCAGAATATACTAATATGTTGCCAGACTTGATATCCCTGTGAAAGATAGATGTAGAAGCATACGAGTGCAAATAGGCAAGTGCTCCTGCAATTCTCAATCTAGTATTCCAGGACATTGTTGAAGCATGGCCCTCATTATAAATAACGTGGGACAAGGCGCCATTCGAGACGTATTCATATACTAGTACTAGAACTTTAGTCTCTAAGCATCAACCTAACAATTTTATAATATTCCTGTGAATTATGTGAGAAAGGATAATAATTCGTTAATGAACTCACCAATTTGATTTTCATCAACTATTTAGACTTCTTAATAGCCACTATGTTTCCATCCGATAACATTCCCTTGTAAACTGTACCATTCATCCTCTGCCGAGGATGACTTTTGTTATAATTTTATGTTGCCTTCTCCAACTCTTTCATGCACAACACTTCCGTTACTCGAAGAGAAAGTCTTTATAGAAGAAGAGGAATGGAAGTTTGTTGTTGCAACAACAAATCTCTTCGAGTAAAGAAAGTGTTGTGCATACAAAAGTCTTCACAACAGAAGAGTTGGAGAAGGCAAAAGACAATTTTAACAGAAGTCGAATCCTAGGCAGAGGAGGAATTGGTACTGTTTACAAGGAATGCCATCAGATGGAAACATAGTGGTTGTTAAGAAGTCTAACATAGTTGGTGAAAATCAAATTGGACAGTTCATTAATGAATTTATTATCCTTTCTAGCACAATTCACAAGAATATTGTAAAATTGTTAGGTTGCTACTTAAAGACTGAAGTTCCACTACTAGTATATCAATAAATCTCGAAAGGCACCTTGTCCCACCATCTTCACAATGAGGGTCATGCTTTTACGATGTCCTAGAATACTTGATTGAGAATTATGGGAGAAAACATCTATCTTTCACAGGGATATCTAGTCTAGCAACATATTACTGGACGAAAATTATAGGGCTGTAGTGTCTGATTTTGGACTTTCAAGAACAGTACCTCTTAATAAGACTCACTTAACAACATTGGTGGGGGCAAATTTGGTTTACTTGGATGCTAAGTACTTTCAACAAGGCAAGTCAATGATAACAGATGCTTATGCCTTTGGCATTGTTCTTGCTGAACTACTAACCAGGAAAAAGTTCTCTTCTAATATATCTAATGGAGGTCTTGTACTTAATTTTTTTATCATCAATGAAACAGAACCATATATTTGAAATTCTGGATGGTAAGGAAGAGGATATTCAAGCTGTTGCTACTCTTGAAAAAAGATGCCTAAAACTGAATGCAAGGAAAAGGCACAATATGAAAGAAATGGCAGCAGAACTGGATCAGCTAGGAAGGATACAAGAGCAGCCTTTACTTAAAGCGCATAATAGCCTGGACAGCTACTGCTCGGTAAGTGAAAAGTCCTACTCTTGCACAATTGATGCAGTTGAAGAAGAATGTTAATGGTATGTCATGCATTTAAAACCATATATGATATTTCATTACTACTTGATGTATTGAAGTTTCTCTCTTCATCTCCTTTTTTTTTTTTTAATTTCAAGAGTCTTAACTACTTTTGAATCTCAGTAAACTACTCAATACAGTTCACCTTTCTACATTAGTAAATCTATCAGTACTTGGAAGAAATTTGAACTAATCCACACACTTCAAAAATCCTAATTGCACCTATGCAAAAAAAAAAAAGAAAAGATACATGTATAGAGTTACAGGTGTTTGGCCCCGAGGTATCACTCTATTCCAGCTACTAAGAGTCTTAGATATCATTAAATCATTATCCCCATGCTTCTATTCTGGAGTCTGCTTATACATTGAACATGTAGAACATTTTAACCAGTCTAAACTAATTACCAAGTTCACTGCTTAACTGACAAGAGAAGGAATACTTCTAAGTAAACATGCACAAAATGTGAGGAAAATGCACTGAAAAATCACAACTTTGCAACAATCTTCATACAAGTGCACAGCAAGACACAAAATTTATGACTTCAATAAGATATATATAAACAAAAAGAGTATATGAGCACTACCTTCCACAAACCCTGCAATGGCCGCAATGCCGTGGGAGAACAATTGACAATCTTCACAAAATGCTCCGGCTCCCATTTCCTCCTCCCCTGCCTCTCCTTCTCTCTCTTCCTCTGCTTCCTTGACGCCCTATCTCCCCCGGGATTCGTCCGGTTTGCGAAGTACTGGTAAATCTCCGACATCAACCGATCCGGTGAGGTTCCCAGTGACCCACTCTGTGCCCCTACCACATCCTCCACGACTCCATACTCTTCTCCAACCACATTTCCCAAGCTGGACACTCTCCCAAACCCAATATTCCTTCCCATGGGTGAATTCGAATACGCAAAGCTCAGATGTTCCTCCACAACAACGTGACTCTTCCCCATAAACCCAATATTGACCCGAATCAGATCACCGGAATTGATCAAATCGTCGGATAATTCGAACCGACACTCGGGATCAAGAAAATTGACAGGCTCGCCGTTTGAAGCGACACTAATCCACAAAAACGGAGCCTTCATGACCCGATACGAGCCAGCCTTTGACGGCGAAACCCTCGAGCCAGTGATGAAGGACGGACCCCATTCGAAGAAGACGAGAGGCGGCGAATTGACGCCGGTGTTGCCGCTGCGGCGCCAGAAACCGATCAAATTCTCGTACTCGGCTAGGGTTTTGTAGAGCTGTTTGTATGTGATTTTTCCGTTGCCCCATTTGTCGATCTGGGTACTGGAGCCCCATCGGCGGTCGCACATGGAGAACCAGAGCTCGCCGTCGTTTTGGCACAGCGATGATGAACGTTTCGATGTGCAGGCGAATGAAGCGATCTCGGAGGGGGTGAGGAAGGAGAGGATACAGACCTGGACGTCTTCTGGTAAATCAGAGAATGGAAATGAAATCAATTCGTTTGGAACGTGAAGATTCGCCATTTTTGTTGTTAAGCTTTGCCGGGTTTGATTTTTAAGGTTTGTAAGCGAGACAAGAGAAAGAGATGAGGCTTGTGCGACAGGGAAGAGATAGAAAATGGTGCTTGGGAAGATTCTTTGAGAGAGAATAATTCTCTGTTTCGGTGAAGAGTCCGTGAGTTGATTCAACAATGGAATATGCGAAGTTGCAGAGTAAGGGGTATAAAGGTCATTTCAGAAAAGATAGAGTATATTGGAAAATTGAAAGATGCAGAGTAGGGATATAATGGTCATTTCACAACAGATAGAGTGTATTGAGTGTGGGATTCAAGCGCCACAAGCTATAATAACACGCGTCCGCGAATTAATTTTGAGCCTCTCATTTTGCCTGTTAGAGCATTTTCAATGCTAAAATATTAAATTCTGATGTCAAATTTAATATTTTAACAGTGTTACAGTATTAAAATGTTACATTTTAGCAATTCTGCTCTAATGATACATTTTATACAAAATGCTATTTTTTGACATAATCACTATTTTTTTTTAACTACCATTCCCCCATTTATATTTAGATCAGGAAATGTTAATATTAGGCACATTTCAAGTCAAGTTGTAAATATTAAAAAGAAACTTAAATTAAACTTAATTAAAAAGAATCAAATATCTAAAATATCTAATCAAAAAAGACCCAAATATATATATATATATATATATATATATATATATATAAATTTATATATTTAATTATATTATTATATAAAAAATTTTATATATATATTTTTTCTTTTTTGGAAATTTATATATTATATATATATATATGTGACGACCCTGATTTTTAGGCCAGCGTGTCCTGTGATGAACCGTAAGGATGATCCGATAACAGATCCGAATGCAAAAGCAAAAACAGAAAACAAGACTCTAAGAAGTCAAAGTAACCTTCCATGAGGTCGTGAAACTCAACAAGAACTGATGCGGAAGCAAAAGATCGAAAATATGACAAATAAACCCCCATGGGCAAAATAGTCATTTCTGAAAACTGTAGATTCGGGTGCCACCGAGCACACCGCTAGAAGGATAACGAAAAACTAATCAAGATGGACTAAAGAATCGCATGATTCGGAATCCGGATGAAGGAAAAACGGCATAACGAAGAAAAACGAGCACTTAAGGAAAAAAGGGTAAATTGGTAATTATCCAAGAAGAACCGGGTGCAACTGAGCACACCGTTGGAAAGACAGCGAAAAATTAGTCAAGTTAAAAAAAAAAATTCACTTGAATCGGAGTCCGGACGAAGGAGAAACGCCCAAAAGAAGAAATGACGTCACGGCGGCCCAACGAGGGGGCCATGACAGCCCACCATGCACGCCCATGCACGCCGCGCGCTGGGCGCACACATGGCTGCTGGCAGCCCAAAAGCTGCTATGTGTTTTTTTTAAAAGAAAACCAAAACAGAGGCTGAATTTGGAGGCCTAAATGAATTTTTTTGGAAAAACACGAAGAAGAAACCCCCCTAAAATCTAGTTCTCTACCCGACATCGCAGACGGAATAAAAAAAAAACTCACTGTGAAATCCCCAAAATGCCCCTAGATCAGAACTGAAGAAGATGGTTATAAAGCTGCTAAATGAAAACTAGAAGCTGAAACTTCACGAGGGATTTCCGGTACCAAGACGACATTTTCTGGAAAAACACGAAGAAGAAACCTCCCCTAAAATCATGTTTTCTATTCAACCATATTGAAAGAAGAAAATAAAACCATCGTGAAAGGTCCATAATGCCCTTAGATCAGAATATGCAAAAAAAATGCGAAATGAATTCACAAGAGGCTCAAAACACAAACGCTAAGGTTTTGCCCGGAAACGACCATGCACGCAAACATAACTTACCTATTTAGACATGTTACAATGGTCTACGACTTAAAAATACCACTGATACAAAATCCAACCCTCCAACGGGCAAAAAGGCAAAAATGGAACTTGGAATGAAAACTCGAAATCCAAAAATACAAAACGGGATCAAATGACCGTTTAGCCCTTGGCCACACTTCAAACATGATTAATAAGACCCTATGAAAGAATAAAAATGGAATTCCCACACCTGATGCAACCATGGTGAAGCAATGACTTGCAATTTTTCAAGATTTTCACAATATTTTACGAAGTTAAAAAGTACATAAAACACAATATAATGGTCATTGGCCTCCGGCCTCATCTCATACATATCAAATACATTAAAAGAAGTGTACTTAAGTACACATTACATACATGGAATCAAATATACATATTTTGACATATAAGTCTACAAAATGACATTTCATGCTAACATTTGCATAAAATGGAAACTTGAAAGGTATATGACATCTAAGGAATGCTAGGCGTCACGAACCAAGTCTTCGTACCTGAAATAAGCCCCAGTATCGTAGGGGTGAGTAAAATAAAGCTACTCGTAGGAGATGAGCATGCATCGACCTAGCATTTTACAAATTTATCACCTTAAGGTGAAATATGTTAAAGGGGCTCATGCCACCTAACGTCTATGTCCAAATGAGACTCGGGGAGCATCCTAAGCTACCTTAGAGTCTAAGCAACAAGAATCATGATATACATACGTGTATGAAACGAATCATGGTTAGGATAATCTAAGAACACGACAAGAAGAATGCTTGAGCATAGATTAACATGAATTGCATTTTCAATATAATTGAACTAGGTCTAGAGTAATCCATATAACATGACAAAAGCATATTTGAATACAAGTTAACAAGAATCACATTATCCATGCAATTCAACAACAAAAGAGCATGTTATACAATGCAATAAGGTATAAGTTCTCAACGCCATCAACTTAGAATCTAAAGCACAAAATAACAGTGGTGGTTCATGCCACCTAACGTCTAAGTTCTAAATGAATCAATATGATCAATCCTAAGCTATGTTAGAACGTCAAAACACAATTTTTAATATCGATGTAATTTAACCAATATTGAGACTTCCAATACAACGCATAAAGCACAATTTCGCAAAGTTAACATCATGTAACTTAAAATGGAACGACAAATAAGAAACAACAAGTTATAACATCATCTAGTTATCAACTTAAAAATGAAATGCGAAGTCAAACAAAGTGGATAATCGGACGTTACGCCAGATCAGACCGACAACATAGTTACTTTAGGGTTACTAGCCCATTGGTAACCTCCCCATGTGCGCACTAGACCATATAGAGGGATTATCCCCCGTTCTAGAACCACGTCCTAGCCATAGTCAAACAACGACATCCCCAAGTTTCCAAAATCAACAAGTTGTACAACAACGCATATATCAACAGGAATATGCAAGATAATTAATTATCTACTAAGCACAACTAAATTTGGAAACCTATACAAAACATGCTTTAAGTCCACAACTAATATAATGTAATGAATGTCGAATCTTCAGTGTGCAATTCATTACACGCTATGCATGAATGATGTTAAATACGAAATGTGCAAATCATTACACAAGGCAACAATATATTCAATAAGGAAAACATATTCTCATGAGTATAAACATAGCAACTATGTTATCCAATGCTCAAAACATAACCAAATGAATATACAACAAGTCCATGTCCAGGATTTTGATATAGAAACGACTTTCAAACACAATTAAATCCATGGCTCAATTCGATAGAATTTAATTAAATAAAAATAATTAAATCCCCTAAATTCTAATTCAATTCCAAATAACCTTAAATTAATACATATTAAAGAACATGGCATGGTCATCACCTATATTCATTCTAAAACTCAATTAGGTTATTGGAACAACAAAGTAAAACTTTAATTAAATCATGCTAATTTAATTACCAAGATTCTAAAATAACTTCTAATAGTCCCAAATTAATATATACTAGTAAACAAGTCATGGCCAATACAAATATCAAGTTAAAACATTTATTAAGCTAATTGGACTACAAAATAGATTTTAATTAATTCTTTTAATTAAAATCTCTTAATTTTCAAACTTAACCAAATGCTCTCAAATTAACCTATGTTGGAAAACATGTCAAGAACTAATGTAATATCACATTACAAGTTTATTTCATTCAATTTACGACCATGCGAATTAAACATTCACTAAAGTTAAATATAAAACAAAAGTTGCAATTCTCATGCAATAAATCCCAATTTAATACATGTGAACAACCATACCAAAACTTAATTTTTTAGCATGCCACAATACAATTCCAAGTTGTATATCACCATGAGGATTAAATCTTAAACATTGAATTTAATTAAATAAAAGGTTTCAAAACCTAACCGAATATTCTAAATCAAATATATGTGAAACTATATGACATGTAAATCAAGAATATCAAGTCGAAATTTAAATAGAGTGAATAGTGCACTCGGGGCAAATTAATTAATCAAATTAATTAATAATTACTAATTTTCAAAACACCTCCAATCACTTTCAAATTCAACAATGTTGGAGAGCATGCTAAGGCCTAATTTAATATGCTAACACATATTGATTTTAAACTAGTTAAGGTCATGTGAATTAATCTTTCACCTAAGATAAATATTAAATAAAATCTTTAATACTTATTTAAATGTTCCAATTTTAATACACGACAATGAGCATATCAAGGGGCAATATAAAATCATGCTACATGTTTAAACCAAGTCATGAGCAACCAGAAAAATTAGATCCTGTACAAGAAAAATAAATAATAAAATCTCTAAATTTTATATTTAATCATGCAAACAAGTAGTATAAGCATCACAAGCATGCTATATAACAAGAATTTAAACATAAAACATCTCCTACTTCAATTTGAGATGAAAATCCCAAAGGCCCACCAAAATGGAACGGCTCCGAATCTGACGAAACTACTAGGTTTTGTCGGGGACAACACCGTGAACATAACCCCCATGAAAGCCCCATCAAAATCATAACTTGACCTCAAAACCAAACTTAAGAAATGGTCAAAACTGAATTCTAATAAGGGAGAAAGGTAGAGCACGGCGAGGGGAACAACAAACGTTAAGGCCGAAGACTTTCCATTAAGGAAAAGTGAACCAAAAGAGGAGAGAGAAGATGGCAGCACCCCTTGGGCTGCCATGGGAGCTCTAGGTCGTGCATGAAGAGGGGAGAAGATGAAAAATGAAATATCTCACCCCCCTTTTATAGAAATCTCAAAAAGTGCCTTGAACGGGCCCCGT